CCACCAACCACCTCCCTAAACCAACCAACCAACCAGCCCGTACCTATCCACCAACCACCTCCCTAAACCAACCAACCAATCAACCCGTACCTATCCACCAACCACCTCCCTAAACCAACCACCAACCAACCCGTACCCACCCACCAACCACCTCCCTAAACCAACCAACCAACCAATGAATCGATCGCCAATCAAAGATAGACATTAGCCGTGATCTCAGTTAATTTTTTTGTCTCCTATATTTTGTTTCTCCAGAATGTACATACAAACATAACATAGACGTAGATGGTCATTCAATGTCCATAGAGGTTCTTGACACCGTAGGCAATGTAAGTACATGCTTTACTGCAGCAATGATAACCACAACTAAGAGAAATACAGGAATAATGCTCAGGAACTATAATATTATTATTATATCATACAGGACGGAATCAAAATTCTCTCTCAAACAGACCAAAACGTTTACGCGAACACACACACACTGTTCTTACTTTATTTAAAGTATGTATTTGGATTATAATAAAAGAATTCAAAAAAAGACCCCTCGAAGTTCCAAAAAAATTCTTGCTGGCTTTTTTATTTAATCGTTGTTATTAATAGCTTGTGCGCATACGCATTTGGACACATGCATACTCCTATGACATTAGAGAAAAACGTCTGCGCATGCGTGCCTTTCATCACGTTTTCTAAGCATTTAGAATGGTTTTGTTAGGAAGATAAATGTTCGTTTTCTCCGAGTGTGTCCAAAACCTTTCGCGAATATACTTTTATGAGACCTAAAGATACTGTATTATAATAAAGACATCAAAGAATTAGCCTTAAGTTTGACTCTAGTTTGCATATGGACTTGCATGCGTAGACATTTTTCGCTTGTGTGTGCTTTCATTGTTGTCGAGCGAAGTTGTTCTGTTGAGGAGTTAAAAYTGGAGTTAACAATTAACTATATTAAAAAAAAATTAATTGAGTTTGGATTTCTCTTTTGTATAGAATACTTTAGCAAGACTAGACAACACCACATCTCATATTGAACTCTTTTTCGTCTTGTATTCTGCAACTGACCGTTCATCGTTTACCGAGGCTTCACGTCTCATCAAATACCTCAGCGAAACAAGAAATATAGATCCCGCATGCGTGACGATTGTAGCCACCAAAAAGGACTTAAAACATATGAAGGAGATCGAGGAATACGAAGGACGATTCTTAGCACAAGATATTGGATGCTCATTTTATCAGATCTCGATATCAGAGGGATATTCAGAAACTTTGAAGACTGTACAAGAGGCCATACGTAAATGTATGAGTTATCAAAATATGAAGAAAAAAGGCGGATTTTTTGACACTATGTTGAGAAGAAGGTCTTGGAGCGGGCAGTTATAACCTGTGTATTACTGTCACGAAAAAACAGCAATGTTTTTGGATGCATCTACTGATTACTATTCACTAAGTAATAGTTTGACCAATCAGTGTGAGGTAGTTAAATTTAACGCACCCATTGGTTCAGAATAGCCAGTGGTATGTAGTTACGAGCGAGACATGAAAATGGCGCGGAAACCAAGTGTAGCCACATCGGTTAGGGTTCGACAGCTTACGAGTTGAGCCGACAGCTTACGAACTCCGTCCGACCATTGTCCGAACGATCTTCAGTACCTTATAGACTTGATTCAGTTTCTTGCTTGCTTGAATACATATCTATAGAAAGCTTAAGAAGCCCTCGGTGGCTTTTATGAGATAAACTTGACAGAGAACTTTGATGAACGTTAATTTGGCGGAATCCGTTGAAGATGGAGAACTCAGTTGAAAAGAGTGGTTTATATTCTGTAATGTTGGATTATCCTTACAACAGACTTTAGACTATGATAGAGCAGTTTTCGCATGACTCTGAAAAAGCGCAGTATCGTAAGCGTGCAGTGCCTTAACCGTGAGTTTTTAGAATTTTAACTGGCTGATTTTTTTCTCGTGCAATGTGATTGGTCTGACAGTGCCGTGACCGTGTCCGCGCCGTGTTCCGGGTATCCGATTGGATGGAGAATAAATTCACGCGCAATGTGATTGGTCTGGCGTACGCCTCGCCATGTCACTACCGTGTTCATCCCGTGAGCTTTTCACAGTCATACGAAAACTGCTCTAGCATCCCCATCGGTGTGACTATCTAAAACACCCAATTTGAAACGTTTCTTGGTAATTGTTTCATTGGTTTTAGATTCAAAGATGATTGTCAACTGATTTGTACATAAGACTGGCTGCAGGAAAGATGAAAGCCCATTGTCAGAAGGTGGCTTTCTTTCTTTAAATCTGGTTGAAATAACAATACTAAATTGAAAATTGTTGTGATAACAATCAATGCCAGTAACTAAAACTTTTTATGTTTTAATGAAAGAATATTTGTTTATTAATAATTATTTATAAAAATCTAGCGTAGGAGAACGACTTTGTCATAACTTTACGAGAAAGCCTTATTAGTTCATGGAATTAAAATTTTAAGTTGTAAAACTGACGTGGTTTGATTATTATTATCATAGAACTGTGTGAAAACAAGCACGTGTTAGTGCAACACTCATTAGCGCACTCCAATATTGCTCGAAATATGCAATGCAATGACCTTCAACTGCTTAATTTTATCCTTGAAATAATCCTCTGCCTGGCTAACTGAATTTATCAAAGTCAGGGGCACAGCTAACTGGATCCTGGCACTTATTGGCATCTATATTAATGGTTACGGAAACGGAGCAAAGGGAAAATAAGAATAGAGGGTCAGTCGCTCTAATTGTCAAAAGTCCCGCTGTTTTTTTTTTCCTTCCAGAATCTCCTAATCAGAATGCAACACGAGTGACGTGAACTTGTAAGATTCGTATAAATAAATAAATAAATAAATAAATAAATAAATAAATAAATAAATAAATAAATAAATAATAATAATAATAATAAAATCTTTATTTTCCATATTATGAATATTTACATATATATATATTTTTTCTAGTTTAGTTCTATTTTATATTATCTCTCATGAAAAAAAAAATGCTTTACATTCAAGGAAATGACTAGAGGCTAAAGGAACCGTAAGGTTTTCAAAGTTAGACCCTAGGCAATTTAAGTAATAATTTTTATCAGTAGYTTCGGACAGTAACACAAAGAGAATAGCAGCAGAAAGCGGAGGTGACAAATGTGCCACAGCAAAGCGACAAGACATAACAATAACGAGAAATAAAGAAGACGAATATTGAAAGTGAAATAATTTAGTTTTTTTTTGGTATCGGGGTAAGATGGGGCGAAACCACTGTTAACATATTATTTTCAGACCCAAAGCTCCTCGACTTCGTTCCTCCGACGAGTTGGAAGAAAGCCGAGGAGCTCTGGGTACAAGAATTTATTTAACAGATCTTGCCACCAGAGGTAGCCCAAGCTAGGTTTCTGTGGTATCATATTATAAGAAAATATATATGGTGATCCTTAAAAAAACCTTGATAAAATCGTCAAAATGTGAAACAAAGTAGAGAAATCTTAGCTGAAGTTTCGGAATAGTAGTATCTCTTTTGCCCTGTCTGGTTAGATTTTGGATTAATGAAGGCAGTTTTAACGTCCCCCCCCCCCCAGGTTCATGCATTTATCATAACATTTTATGAATTTTTAATTATATAGCTGCTTAATTAATCCCATATCAACAAGACCTGTCCAATTAAGGTGGAAGCAACTATAGGGGGTTTGGGAACATGCACCCCCCCCCCCCCCGAATAAGTTTGAGATCAAGACCCTCGGAAATGAGATTTACAGAGTTTGGAGAGGGGCATCTGTGACATTTTACCATGGCAACTACCTGGCTTGCCTCATAGTGGCTACGACCCTGCAAGGAATCAGCTTTCGTCAAAATAAAAAGGGTTGAATCTTCAAAAAGTTCTAATTATTCTTACTGATGACCCTTTCCCATATGAAGCCGCAGCCCTCGATCCTCCCCGATAAAAAACGAACTTATTTTTAGACTCGTTTGCCGAGACAACCCAGTAAAATGAATGATTTATTACGATACTTTTGAGAAGGGTTAATCTAGGCGCTCTTTAGTGAAACTGGTTTCACGGTTCTCTGGACAAATGATAATCCAATTCAAAGTTTTTTTCAAGAACCATCGATGGCTGAAGAGATGTCAATTTATCCCGGGCCAAGCCTCACAAGCACTCGACATCAATTGTTATATCAATATTGATAAAGACCTTGCGAGCTCTTCAATTGTATATACAAGCATCAAAGATGCACGTAATCGAAGTCAGTCTAGTATTGGTTGCACGCTTGTGTCGTATATGCGGTCATTAGTACCAGTTAGTACATGGGATTTCTTTGGAAATAAGAACTGAAGACTCAAAGAAGGCAGTCCAATGCGAAGCTGATTGGGTCCGCTGATTGTAAGTACACTCTTTCATAGCTAAAGTAATTATCCCATTTTAATGGCTTAAAAGTACTTAAAAGTACTTGAGTAAATGAATATGTATGCTGTAATCAAAGAGGCTTACAAACCATATGTTTCGCATCGCTTCGTCGCTGTAACTTTTCTTGTTTTATCTATTTTCGAGCTCGTTTACTGGAAAAAAATTCAGTTCTTACACGAGGGTTGGTTGTGAAAATTTACGAAACTCGTCACTAAGATTCAAAATCTCTAGGATTCTTAGTGTGCTTAGTAAGCTAAGCTATGATGGCGCTCCATCTGAGTTTTCGATCAGTTAAGATCAATTACTACGGTACACGAATCAATTACCAATGTCCATTAGCTATGTTACATTTAACTAAACAAACCTAGGCCCTTTGAGTCTTCTGCGCATATCATGTGTAGTATTTATGGTGGGCTACGTGCGTTTTTAGGCGATGATGGGTGTATCATAAAACACTGGTACGCGAGACTAAGGCCCCGTCCATACGTATCCGGAAATTTTTGTATCCGCAAATTTTTTTTACGGATACGAAAATGTTCGCGTCCACACGCAGCGTATTAGAATCGAATTCACTGTCCACACGTATTCGGAAATTTCATGATCCGCCCTGATGTACGCTTGTGCCTAGTCCCTTTTACGGATAGTTTTTCTTAATGAGCATGCGCAAAATCGTGTTTACATCATCGTATTCGAAAATTTGCGGATGCGACCTTCCACACGTATCCGTATTCGGAGCGTATTCGAAAATTTCCACTCTGGAGACCGTTTTCGAAAATTTCCGGATACGGATACAAAAATCCGGACGCGTGTGGACGCAACCCGTATCCGCAAAAAGAAATTTGCGGATACAAAAATTTCCGGATACGTGTGGACGGGACCTTAGAAAGAAGGACGAGCTGAGATGAAATGGTTTTTAAAGTCGTTGTGACACAGTGAATCTTTGAGAGTAAACTTTTCACAATCAGTTGCAGTTTGAAGTTTATTTTATGATATTTTGAGTCAGGAAATTAATCCCATAGCAGTCTCGTACCCAGATCTCTGAGACCGAGGAGTTCTGGGTACGAGACTGATCCAACTAATTTGTTCCCAAGCATGCGCAGTAGATTACGTCTTCCTGTCGTCCAGTCCCCCTTTTTCTTAACATTGCTCGCCGGTTGACCAAGAAGTAGGAGCCTCGAGTTTGGTTTATTGACAACATGGCGCGGAACTGGGAATTTGCAAAACTTTGCGTTGGGAAATGGGATTAGGAGTCCCCACCCCCATTCCCTTAGGCCTGAAGCTCAGGTTAAGGGCCCCCCTTTTCAGGAACCTACTAATATCTAGCCTTGTGCAACTTTTTGAGCGAGAAAGACGTTTCACGAGGAGAACTAGTCCACTCCTGTCAATAAAACTTGTATGTACACCCGGAGAAATTAAAGATGTTCTCAGATGAGTGCGATGACGAGTGATGTCGATGATGATGGTGTTGATGGCGATGATAATGATATTGATAATGCATTAGCAAAATAGTGATAATGACGAAAAACACATTGATGACGGCTGATTATGCGATAATCCGTTCTATAAGTATAAGTATATGAGTCAGTAGGAAAATCAACAATAACGACTGATGTTGATGTTGGTAATGATGATGATGATGATGATGATGATGATGATGATGATGATGATGATCAATCAGTGATGGCGATAACAATCACAGTAAGTACGTACTGAGTAAACACTTAGGCAACTATCATTGCTGGTTTTAGAGTGTTGATGATGTCATTATTACTGGCTGTCATTGATACTGTAGCATTAAAGTCACAGGAATAACAAATGTTGAGAAATGACTGACTTAGATCGTTGAATAAAAATGTTTTGGATCCTTGTGAAAATTATCTTCGATGCGATTGCAACATGGAAATACAAAAAAAAATGCCACAAATTCCATCGAGAAAAAGTGTATTTAGTTTTAAATTTGATTTTCATATTAAGAAAATTAAGATAATCAGTTGAGAGGGATCCACTAAGTGATCACTGAAATAAGAGAATGTAAAAAAAAAAACAAAAACAAAAACAAACAAACAAAAAGAAGCTTTAAGACTAAAAAGTGAAACCCAAAATGAAAGAAAGCAACGACAAAAATGCAAAACAAATGGATGAAAAATCAACAGAGTCGATCGTGAACTGAGTGGTGAACGATAAGAAAGGTGAGACGTAAAGGGAAATAGATTGTCCAGGTTTCATCTCTAGTTGCTGTTATAAATTATGAGTTAATCTACGGATCGTTGAATCTCACACTCACTGCTCAGCCATTAATCTGACAGAAGTATTGAATACACAAATGTATAAAGTGATCTGAGTGGATTACAGGAATATCAACCTAAGTGCACTCAACACTCTTTTCTGTTCTTTTAGCTTGATCTAATGGCCCACATGAAGGAATGAATAAACGTGGAAATAAGTAAGTACAGGAAGGAAGGAAGGAAGGAAGCAAGGAAGGAAAGAAGGAAGGAAGCAAGGAAGCAAGGAAGCAAGGAAGCAAGGAAGGAATGCAGACCACACAAAATAACAGTTCTACCCAGCTTCATAACATTCACAGCTGCATATACAGAAATAAAAAAAATAAGCTTTCAAATTTTATCGAAATCCTGAAACAATCTCTGGGCTGATCCAAGTCAGGGCACAAATAACTCAAGATCGAATCAAGATCGAATTGGAATTTAACATATTAGGTTTTGCGAAGGGAGGAAAACCGGAGAATAAAGGATAACCCTTTAATGTGTTTTGGTGTATGTATTTTTGTTTATTCAGAGGCATGCCGCTACTGGAACAGCCATCTTTGAGTTAGCAATGTCATTCAATCAGATCAAAAGATACGAGAAATCAAGTCAGTTAAGAGTTAAGAAAGACGTGTTGCTATGGCAACCAGTAAATTTGACAAAAGATAACGATATGTATCTTGGGCTAAAATTATTTTTTTGATCAAAATCAAATCAAGGGCTTTAGGGATTTAGTTCAGTTGTTTCTCGTAATGCAGGCTCGATCCTCAAGGCATTTTAATTTTTCTGTGATAGCCTCAATTGTCAGAATCCTAGCTAGTGTGTTTGCTTAGCACTTTACTTCGAGGACGCTGAGTGGTGAATGTCTAGGGTGTTATTTAAAACAGCCTAAGCTGTTTATCTTGAAGAATAATTTACGAATCTTCAATCCAGGCTAAAGTAATATTGACATAAAAGCACAAAGGTTTGTATTCTTGAGCAGTGACTAAAGCCGAATCCACTCTCACAGCAACAGGAAGAGTCGAGAAGATTGCAGATTATAAGCTGAACTCTTCCACGAGAAAACGACGGAGTATGAGAAGAAGAAGAGTAGGAACAAGTCATCAACAGCAACTCAGAGAGATACGAGCTGTTGTCCTGGGTCAGGACGGAGTTGGAAAGTCAGGTACGCAGTTAAAGACAAAATACCAAAAAATTCGCAAAGACTTTTGAAATACTTCCTCGAGTTTCGTAACGTCTGTGAGAAGAAGTAGACACTAATGAGATTAATTATAATGTTTAATTAGTCGTATTGTAGTTTTGGAGTTTAAAACTTATAATATAAATTAAAGAGGAAGTAGTTGAATAAGTTGACACGCAATTGTTAAAGACAATCAACTAAAAGTAATGTCATAGAGAAAGTGTTCAACCTCACAAAAGAAGGTGATTCTAGACTGCACTCTAGTGTCATTGATGTGTAAATGTTTGAGAAAAGGAGTCGTTGGGTCTTCGTTTTGTCAGGCGCTCGTTTTAAAAGAGTGAGTCAATCTATTTTTATGAATTAAAGCTCGAAACTAAAGTACACTGGAGAATGAAATTTTGAATATAGAATGGATTATTCAAAAACAAATTATAACCAAAAATGGAATGCTATTTTTAGCACTCTTTCCTGGCTGTTAGTTATATTGTATGGTGTGCCAGTCGCCACGTTACTGAACTCATTTGTGTTTTTTCTCCAAACAAATTTCTTTCATTTCTATAGTCAAGTTGTTGACGTTACGACTAAGGACAGAGAAAATCAAACACGTTTACACAATATAAACAGAAAATATCCGGGAAAAATCAGTTTAAAAATAACAAAAAAAAACGAAGAATTTTCTATTGATTGACATGGAATATTAAATYTTTTTGTGACCGAGAAAATCTTGGAAAGCCGCTTTGCCTAGCAAGGCAGATGTCAGGCAGTATGTTGAACAGAATAGTTCGAAAGTTAAGATAAATGGATCATAAATGAAGTGACACGAGGAAACATTTCAAAACAATGGCGAACAAATTACAATGATAAAGCCTTTTAAGCTCAAAAATCCTTTAGTTTGAAGTATTTTGCTTTTGGTTATTGCTTGCTGTTAAGTGGATTATTTTTGCTCACATCTGAGGCTTGATAGTTAATCTCGTGTGAACACTAGGTTTTAAGACAACTGGTGGTCAAAGTTGGGGGGAAAAACCTAGATTTTTAACCCACTCACTAAAAACATTTAGAGCATAAATGTGATAAGTATTTTTACTTTTAGATTTTTTCTGTTTACTTTCTCTCTGTTTTTTGAAGTCATATGTCATTGTCTTGTTGGAGACAAGAGACTGAATGAAAGTGCTGAATTACGATGGAGTTTTATAGGCACGTACGCAATTTTGGAGATTCACTGACTGCGCAAGCGCTAAACCGGGCCGCGCTGTGTCTATGTTTTTGCACTGCGCAAACTCGTTAGATCCAGTACTTTATTTTTAACTGTGCAAACTCGATAGATCCAATACTTTATCTTTTACTGCGCAAACTCGATAGATCCAGTACTTTATCTTTAACTGCGCAAACTCGATAGATCCAGTACTTATATTAACTGCGCAAACTCGATATGCAATACTTTATCTTTTACTGCGCAAACTCGAAAGGTCCAGTACTTTATCTTTTACCGCGCAAACTCGATAGATCCAGTGCTCTATTTTTAACTGCGCAAACTCGAAAGATCCAGTATTTTATCTTTAACTGCGATAACTCGATAGCAAACGTATTTTATATTTTATGGATCCGGAGACTGTATGGTTTACTGCGCAAACAGAGGTCTATTGTTTTTAATTTTTTCACTGCATAATCCCGATGAACTGTCAAAGTATCAAACGCGCGCGCAATAACAATAACAAGAAGTCAAAATGTTTCAAGATGTTGATTATCCTATAGGAGCACTCTATGGATGCAGGAACCAATTTGCTACCGTTCAATCCTGCTAGGCTTCTAAACTGACTATTGCTGAACTCGAATAATGCTATACCCTTTTGCCTTTAGCCTTGACTGTACGATTCCTTACGAGGCGCTTCATTGGTGAATACGATAGCTGTTTAGGTAAGCCAATGTCTTCACTTAGTGACTATCAGTCGAACCTCGTTGATACCGGCCAGCAAGGGGATACGAAAAAGTGGGGTGTCCGTGTTAAACAGGTTTAGTAATTTTGTACGAAAATGTTTCTCGGCGAGATAAAAACAGATGTCCATTATTGCGAGGTTCGACTGTTTTGTCGTCTTGCTTTGGTTTTACTAGTTGGTGACAAAAGTTTGTTATTTTATTGATGGGCGCGGTGTTTAGTTTTCTTATCAATTTTCCTCGTGTTTTTTTCGTATTTTAGAAGCAACTCACCGTCACTATTTGACTGTAGATGGACAGTTTATTTCTTTGGATATTACAGATACTGCTGGAAACGTAAATATAAGAAATATGCTAATTTAATAGGCATGCATTGGCATAGGCATTCATCCATCCATGCATCCATCCATGCATCCCTCCATGCATCCATCCATTCTTCTATCCATCTATCCATCCATTCTTCTATCCATCTATCCATCCATCCATCCATCCATCCATCCATCCATCCATCCATCCATCCATCCATCTATTCATCCATCCTCCCATCCCTCCCTTCCTCCCTCCCTACATAATTTAATCCTTTTAATTTCATACTTGATCTCACAGAATTCCAAAGAGAAAATAGAATCAGCATTGTTAAACGCCAATCTCATATTCCTCTTATACTCGACGACAAGCAGAGAATCCTTCCAAGAAGCTTCTTGGATCTCAAAAAGCATCCAAGAAAGCAAGAACTTACAGCCCAACACAGCAATAATCATTGTAGCGACAAAAAGCGACCTCAAACATTCTCGGAAAGTCCACGAGTACGAAGGTTTATTCCTCGCTCAGGAACTAGAGTCAAACTTCTTTCAAATTTCAATATCTGAAGGCTACAAAGAGACACAAGAGGTGCTTATTGAAGGGATCAGAATGTGCATGAATAAAGAACTTGAAAGAGGTCGAAGCTCTACGTTATCGAGAGTAAAAGAGGGATTAAAAGGAACTGCTAAATCTTTACGAAAGAAATCATCCACTGACAATTTTTTCGATTCCAGAGGAAATGGATTTTCGTCGTCTACAAATGTTTAATTTAACGTGGAACATGGTTTTGAATGTTGTCTAATGCATGTTGGACAGGATATGACAAACACAGAGCTTAATGCCGGCATGGCGCGAACCCGATTCCTCTAAACGACGCCGGGCCAAAAATAAGGATTTTGAAAACGTTTGTTACCTGTGCAAAGCGCAATTTAAGAAAAAAACATTTTGTGCTACAGGATTTTTTTTTTTTTGTGAATGGGACAGTTGGTGCCGTACCGAGCTATAGAGGGCACTTTCACGCCAACCAATCAAAGTCCTTAAACAGAAGACATACTTCAACTGCTTTAATTTTTCCACTTATTCAAAATACATTCTACACATAGCCAAGCATTAACAGATCACGTGATCATGTTTCGCCACCATATTGGACCATAATCAAGTAGATATTGAATACATTAAAGGAAGCCATTGATAATCTACAGCTAAAAATAATTGATCATGCAAGAGAATTAGAGGTATCTGAGGAATTTGGGCCATTTCGATGTTCACCAAATATGGCGGTGAATGGTCACGTGACCCTTCGTGCATAATGAAGTATCTTTACTTCCATAAAATGCGTCGAATTCACTCATAACTTTGCGATGTCATACATCAACGCTCAAAAGGTGTTTGAAATATTTTATAGTGTTGTTATTAAACATTGTCATCTTGTGAGGAAAAAAAGGATTTAGAGGGGAGGGTGGGGGTTAACCGGTACCAACCTCCTATGGAAGTGAAACCCTTGATTTTGTCCTCGAATATCTCCAAGTTGACTAAGTCAAATCGAAGGTAAGCAGGCTCAGTATTTGGAATATATTGACAAGGGTGGAAAACTTGGTGAAATGATGTTCCAAAAAAAAAACATTTATATATATATATATATATGGGCTTCCTGTGTTTTCTCGTCTGGAAATGCATTGTGGATACTATGTCGGCTCGTTTGACAAGCAAAAATATTGTTATTTTTGTTCGCGTGAAAAATGCACCCGTTACTATTACTTTATCGAGCTTTTCTAGCAGAGGGAAAGGCTATCGAGCAAAGAAGGAAGGCATGCCAATGGTACGTACAATAATATAACAAATATCTTAGTTTTGCACTGAGAGTAAGTTCCAGCTTTGGAAAAAATTTTTTTTTCGTAGAACACGGCTTAGAGGTGCCGACAAGTTCGTGCCTTATCCTTATTATTAAACTCATTTATAGTTTTAGTTTACTTTCATTGAGTTTTAGCAAGGAATATTTGTGAATAAACTCAGGCTACGCTGTAGTTTTGGCGGGAAATAATAAGGCACGAATTTTTCTACTTTTATCATCACATGGCTACAAGTTTTGCTTGATTGATAATAAAATGAAGTACCTGTATTTTGTGTTGCTCAAGGTGGGTTACTGGAAGAGCTTCTGATGGTAGAGTACAGCACTATTTGTTGAAGATCAAAAGCAGCTAACAGAACAAACAAACCAACGCAGACGGACAGACAGACAGACAGACAGAATACACAGGCAGCCCAACAAGGATTGTATCGGCTAAATCATGGATGATCATCATGGCTTTCTGAACCAAAAAGAAAAATGTAAGCGTGTCGGAGCTTCTTGTACACATGAGGCTGATTTCGAAATACCAGTAATCGTGAAAGATCTTTGACAGAAATAGGGTCCAGTGTGTGTTTTGCAAACAAAGCAATCATGCATCATATAAAGGCAGCATGCTTGCATATGAGAAATTGCACATCTATAAGGTGTTGGTATCTACAGGAATTGCTGTGCAGAGTTCCAACCGAGACCACTCTTACAGAAGTTACCAATCACAATGTACAGGGCTTAAAATAATGGCCGATCTGTTGCTGTTCATGATCACAGGCCAAATTAGTTTTAGCTTAGTCATGTCTCATTTCTGGCTAGATGTTACTGGTCAAAAGTCCCTGTCCTGGCTGGACATTATCCAATGTCTGGCTGTTATTTTAAGCCCTGAAGTAGAAACAAAATGAAGCATTTTGTCTTGAGCCAAATAGACAAGACGAGGAAGCCAAGATCTAAACATGTTTTGACAAGAAACCTATGTTATGTTATCAACAACTTATCAAAATTAAACGATTGTGATTGGTTGAGTTCAATGTGATACCAGGGGCGAATCCAGGGGTGGTGAAGGGAGTGGCTAGTCACCTTTCTTTTGCTCAAGTTTCTCAGTAGTCTAGTAAGCCACCCCACTTTTCCTTTCATCCCTGGTAAATCCTATGTAATAGTCATAGCCCCTTCTAAAATATTCTGGATCTGCCATTGGATTGCCTGATTTTCCTCTCTCCCTATTGGCTCCAGTTTTTGCACTATTTTCTAACTGGTTCAGTGCCAATCATAATCTAAAACTAGACTTGGTTAAAGTGCATGTCGGCACAAAGATATAATGAAAGATACAATGTGAAACTAACCCATGACAGTCAGAAAACCATAAAATCTATCAATATGCTAACGTTCGAATGAAGTTGTACAGTCTATTATTTTTGTAATAATAGCTCTTTTTTTATAAAGAAATGCAACAATATGCTTTTTTTTTTTGGTTTTATTTCAAATGTTTTTTTGGTGGACCTAGTATAATCTAAGATTATTGCAAACAATATAACCGTGAAAATTTAGTAATACTAAAAAGCACAATTTCATGCAAATTCCATTGTTTTCTATTGTTTAATTAGCACTATTTTGTACTATTTAGTTATTAGTGTTTCACAGATTAATTGTTTGCACTCTATTACAAACAAATTGCATTTATTTTTGTTATATAAATAATAATATAATTGTTTATTTAAGGCCTAGGGCAAACGTTGAACTTTCCATGCACCGAACTTAATTTCATCAAAGRATGCCGCCTCATTATCACCTGATATCCATTGTTTTTAATGAGTTCGGTGCATGGAAAGTTTGACGTCTCTCTAGGCCTAAGCCAGGGCTTTTATTTTATGCCAAGGCTCTCATTGATAGCAGACCTTTTATTAGTTCTGAAGGGACTACCCTGGCTTTATTTATTTTAAAATAAAGGTTTCATTCATTCATTCAAGCAGATATTTGCCTATAATGTATAGAATATTGTGATTTTACCTTAATAATAAAAAGTGATGTTTTATTTTCTACAAATGTACAAACGTAATATTTACTACTATAGTATGTACTCTGTGACTTTAAGCTAACGATATTTTTTCCAATTTGTATACAAATTAGTTTTTATGTATTTTTATTTGGAACTACTCCAGGAGTGTATTCTGGTGGAATGTCTTCTATAGGGCCTCTAACACTTGCTTCCTGTAACAGCTGTGAATTCACAGTAAAACCATCTCTACTGTTGTTGTTTTGTTGTTCTGTGAAGTCTCCGTACGGAGGTGGTGCTCCTTCATGATCTTCTGGCGGACCCAATTGGGACATTTGAATCACTTCTTCGTATGTTGGCAGTTTAAATTGAGTAATCCCAGGCTGATTAGTAGTTTGTGCAGGTCGTACATTCATCATAGCATACCAGTAATTGCTCATTCGAGAATAAGGTCCAGCGTAATGTCTTTTATAATATACACATGTACATCCAAGTAATATGATGATAACCCAGAGGAGCCAAAACCCTGCAAAAAATAGACAAGTCATTAGAAGATACTTTAGGCTAAGTATATAATATAACAGCTACAGCTGTGAATTTCATTGCTAAAAGCCAATTTTACCATTCGTTTGGGAGAGCATGACCCAGCGCTAATAAGAACAGCTGCTGAATGGCTAGATAAGATGACCAGCCAGGTAGGTATGAATGGGTGACGTATGCTGCTAATGCATTGTCTTTCACCAGTGTGAGTCCACTGGGYCGAGTCGCCAGTTCGAGCCTTCGGTCACCACATGTGAATTGAGTTTGTTTGATGTGTTGTTCTCTCCTATGCTATGAGGGTTTTCACCAGGTTCTCCTGTTTCAACTTTTGAGTTGAGCATTGTGTGCATAGGATATTGAATGTAGTGGTAGTGTGTGTGAGTGAAAAGTGTCCCCAGTCAGTGCAAAAGCACTAGAAAGACTAGACACTTARATAAAGAGATTTATTTTACAGTAAAAACCCGCGTATATATAAGAACCTAAAATTAAGAACCTGTTAGGCTAAAATTTCATTTTTAAGCACCCTTCACATAAGAACCATTTTAGGCTAAAATCCTAAAACAGGTTCTTATTTTTTAAAAATCCAATCATCTGTCATTGAACATTTTAAAGAGAAACCTTGACATTTTATCATGTTTTGTTGTTTTGTATACAGTACAGTACAAGATTTATTGAGGATTACAGTGAAGGTTACAGTAGGTTATTATAACAGAATCAGATTGAAATAGTATACTTTAGTACATTTGATTACCTAAGCCTCCAAGAATACTGTAATAATTGGACATTAAAGACCAGACTACAGTATTCAAAAATACTACTTTATTTCTTGAACAAAAGTTAAGAACCTAATTAAGAACCTAGTTAGCCYAATTTAACACTAAATACCGTTTATATAAGAACCTGTTTAGGCTAACTTGAAAAAACTGAGGTTAATTAATTCTTATATGCAGGTTTTTACTGTATTTGAACATGAGAAAGATTGAGAGAACTGGCCGGATAGGCATTGCCCCAACGAGTGCCAGTTTTAGACAGACATTGTCTGGCTATCAATTTAAGCTCTTCTGAATATGTGAACAGTCTTTTACAGAATGATTAGAGTTGTAATTTTGCCAGAAAACATAGTGACAATGGGGTAAGTGATAACACATCACACACGATCACACATGATACTTGGTTCCCTCAGTTGGTTTACTTGCTGAATTGGTTTACTTCTTCTGCGATATTTCTGTAATATTTCCGAAAGAAAACACTAAACATCTATAAAATATTTCATAACTGTATTGGATCGAATGTGTATGTATGTGGATCGAAAGTGTATATAGGTGGATCGGTAGTGTATATAGGTGGTTCGAAAAGACCTGGGTCGAAAAGACTTTTTGGATTGAAAAGACCGGTATTCCGAGGAACCTCTATGATAGTGACTCCTGAGTGAAGGAGAAGGATATGCATGCAATTCATGATGATTAACAATTATATTGACTTACACCACATCTCATAATATTGGTAATATGTACAACATTTCATGTCCCCACAGCAGTGTCCTGTAAAAATAGCAAAAATAAATGAGTTTTTTCTTCAGATAATACACAATAAATTATATTTACATATCTTCTTTAGACATGAAAATGAGTTGGCTAAACTTAACAGGGCAAAAATGAAAAAGGTACACTTGCATGATGTACTTGAGGTGTTATAAAGTGACTTTCAAAAAATTGCCAAAAGGAAAAAAAAAAAAAATTGGGGGGGGGGGGGGGGGGTTAGAAGGGATTATTATTTTTTTTTGGAAACTCAAACTTTTGAAAACAGTATCCATATACAGGGATATTCCAGCATTATTCTTAACAGGGGCTTGTATGATGGACATGAAAGTGAAAGTAATGCCTAATTCTAGTTAGCCATCATTCTCTTGTTGTCAATCAGCAGTGCCGCAGCATTCCCTTGCCAACATGACCGTAGGACAGCTGGAATTTGTAATTCATATTACAACCTTTATAGCATTAAAATAATAATAATAATAAAATTATTATTACAGAGGTATATTATATTCTACTATCTGTTTCCTGTTGACAAAATTTTTCTGTTGTGTTCAGTCATTGAAACGGTCAATAAATATTAAAATAGACAGTATTAAAGTATACAGATGATTTTTTGCCTTTGTGATTAAATATGCCTAATTATACATATATGTATCACTGATACAATTTTAATTGTAAAATACATCCATAGTGCATCTCAGAAATTGGTAAAAATATRGTTGCAATTTTATCTCCCTATACTACGTAAGAATCGTTTCTTATTTTCTGCTAAATTTCGTAACGAAACATTTAATGTATTCATGAATTAACTAAAGCACATCGGAATATTAAATCGTAATGTATTCAAATATGGTAGGGCTATAATAAATCAAAACATATGGATCTAAAATCATTTTATCTCCCACTAATAGGTCGTGAGCTTTACCCAGTATTTTAACACTATACCGAAGCTCACAAGCACACAAAAGTTTGTCCAACTAGTTATCCCGTAGTCGTCCTGCAAAAAACGTCCCTATTAAATATATTTTACAGAGTCCTTAGTTAAGACTCTTTGAATAATAATAGACTTGATGTAAATGCCCACCTTCTTCGCAGTAAAATTCCTTATCTCCAAGTTTTCCACAGAATTCACCCTGTTAGAGAAATTGGGAATAAAAGCAGACTCTTGTAAAATATACTAGTGACCTTTCTCAAATAATACATGCAACAGTATCAAAAATAAGAAATTTAATTTCCTGTAAGAAGTGTTGATAAAGCATTTATTGAATGCACAATGCGTGTAAGCTTGAAGTTTCGGTTTTAAGTATAGAATATACCTGCAAGATTTTGCAAATCGACAGGTAAACAATCAAGAAAAAGAACGATAAACTAAGCGTATTCATTTTTGCAATCGAGAGCCAGATGTGTCATGGATATCGTTGAAGACTAACGAATATTTTCCTTGAGAATTTGTGAATATTGGCGCTTTCTTTGGAGATACACTTTAAAAAAATAAGCCCCATCGTTAGCTACTAACCTTCACTGCTACTAACATAGACCAAAAAAAGATGACATAACGTTCCATCTTGGCAATGCAAAAACAAGAAGGTAGCTTTTGAGGACAAGAATTTTTTCCTTGCAATAGTGTCTCTAGGTTTCTCTCTGTCTTTTGTTTAGGAGGAACTGTCAAATAAGGGAGAAAGCGTTGTGTGACGACACTGAAAGTGTCTGTTTTGAAGACGAATGTAAGTCGGGAATTAACATATTTGCGAATTTTGCAATTTGCTTTAACAGTACTAATAAAAAAAAGTTCGCAATTTTCTTGATACCGTATTAAAATAATTTAAAATTATATCATATACTAGTAAAAAAAAGTTCGCAATTTTATCAACTTTCATAATTTGCGAATTTTTGAACCGTATCATATTATATGCTAGTAAAAAAAAGTTCGCAATTTTATCAACTTTCATAATTTGCGAATTCTGAT